AGTATTTCGATTCGAAATGATATATCAATTTGTTAGAAACATCAATAAGGAAGAGAAAATCAATTGAATACTAGAATCATTTCGAAGTGTATTTTGACTCGATGAACATCATTAGTTTGTTCGAGCACTTTGGAATTTACACAACAACAAAATTCATCTCCATACATTATCATATGCTTTTCATGATTTGGATTTTGATTGTCCTGCTTTATCAAAATCAAGCTATGTTAATGAGGGTGTGGGTTTGGATTTCCTTTTCATACACACTCACACTTACACCTCATATCCTCATTATTATTGAATATAATTGATGAGCATTGCGTAATATTCTACAACATAGATAAAATATTTGACCTTAAAATGTGAAACACGATGCAACAGTTGTTACTAATTACATGAAGTTTCTTTTAATCGATCTATTTTGGCATACATTTCTTCATCACTGTTTTATTGAATCTTTGAGAACTGTAATAAGGAAGTGTTTCATGTATTCTAACGATATGTTAGTGATATACAATCTGTGATGATTTCTGGAGGTCGTATATCACTAACTTTTCTCTAGATTGGATGAACTACTTTCTCATTACGGTTCTAGAAGACTAAACAAATGATGGTGCAAGCATGTGGCTCAAAATAGATTGAATAAAACAATTTAGATGTGATTAGTTACCTCGTGTTTCACACTTAAACCTCGTAGAGATTGTGCCAATAGCTTTTTCGGTAAGGAGCCAATCTACCGATACTTTTTCAATGAAAGTGATAATATACGTTATGATCATGTAAAACTTGCATCATCTCTTCAATATTTGCTGTTTTAATTTGGCTAGCAAAATAATCCTTTTTGTCGTAAACAAAAGAGTTATCAAACATATAAACGTACAAAATCAACAATGTATTAGTAAACTAATTTTCATTGACCGAAGCCGAAACTGGACTTGACTAAAAAAAATTGGTACTGTTAGCCAACTTACGTTAGATATGCATGATCACTCTAAGATTGAATTATGCATTACCATACATTGAAACTATCAGCTGTTAATTATCATTTTTCGACATATTAAGATCTGACAAACGTCGCCAAATTTCGGAAAACGAATTTCAAATGTGCACTTGCCAAATTCTTACGATCTCGTCAAGTTTTTTCGACTCAAAATAATGCTTAAATGCTGAACTAATCGGCTAAAAAGCTGTAAATCGACTGCTGTACTTCATGAGTAAAGCTATTTCAATAATAAAGTTGACGCTTTTAGAGAGTAATGGCTTTAGAAATAAGCAGTCGTAGTCACAAAGAAGCACATTGGTATAAATCTACAATGCAACAGATTCTCAATGATCACAAGACAGTTCAGATCAACTTATAATTGTCTACAAAAGTGGAAAAAGAAGAAATATGCTGCAACTATCTATAAAGTGGTTTTTTTGTTGTCCTAAATCATTTTCTTGAGTTCATACCTTTCGGCTCGTATATTAGAAAAAAAACAGTCATAGTAGGGCTGCATAAAAACATGAAAAAAATGCAAACAAAAACATATTATCTTCGTGTAGTTGTTCTACCAAGAATAAGACTAGTTGTTAATGGTGACATTCTTTCAATTACTTGTCGAATAGCAGTTACATCTTGATGAAGACGATTAACAGCTAATTGTAAATCAGTAACACGTTCGTGTAAATTTTGTGAAAAAGGTTCAACACGAGTTTCATTGTTTGTACCTGATGGTGATGGTGGTGGTATGTTAGTTTGTTGATGATGAAAAGATGATACACTTGCAGCTGATGGACGACTTGTAGTAATCATACTACCCATTGAACCGGGTAATGTTCGAGCAGCAGTAGATATTCGACCATGTTGTCCAGCAAGTGTTTCTTCTAATAATTCTCTTAATCGTCCTAATTCTTCAGCTATATTTATTGTTGGATCTGTTGTAGTCATTGCTGATGATGGTTGAACTGTATCAATTTGTTCTGTACTTTGATGTATTGAAGACTTCTTTGATGGTGATTGTGTATTTGTTGTAGAATTTTGTCTAGTGTTTTCCTGTAATGTTGATGTTGTTTTTGGTAAATTTTGTCTTGGAATTACTGTTGTTGATTGTAATTTTGTTAATGTTGTATCAATATCATTTAATTTTTGTTGTACTTGTATACGAAATGTATTAAATTGTATATTATGTTTATCAATTGTTTGTCGAAAATGAGCAAATGCTTTAGCTTGTTGTTCTTCACGTGATTGTCCAAATGAATTAAAATTAATATCTTTCCAATTTAATTGTAATGGTGAACATTGACGATGAATCATTTCTTGTAATTGTAAACGTTTACGAGACGATAAACGCCATTCATAATTTAATATAATTTGAATACGTTCAAGAAGAAAACGAGCTTCAACAGTTGAGAATGCTTCTGTTTGTAAAGCATTTGATATAAGACCAATAAATATATTAACAGCTAATATTGCAGTAAATAAAAGATATGTAGTACAAACAAATGCAGCAAAATAACTATCGATTAAATTAAACGCAACGATTGGAACTAAAAATACAAAGATAAAAATGCACGTTAATCATTATTTAGAATTTCTTTTTTAAGTCTTACTATCATCAACTAATGCAATACGAAAAATAGAAAAAAGTAATGAATAAAATGTTTCAAAGCCATATGGTGCGACTAGATGACATGAATTTGTTGCATTATAACATGAAACTTCCGCAACAGCTGATGTTCCATTAAATACATAACGGTTTTGACCTTCATATGGATCGAAACTGTTATTACCAGATATGGATTCTTCAATAATAGGACAATATAGTAATGCTTTCTCACAAAGTTCAGGTGATTGGAGATAATCAGTATGAAAAATTTGTCGACCACCAAACACAGCATAGAAAACTAATGCATATGGTAAAAGAAGACAAGCAAAAACTAATAGAAAACGTATTATATCATCGAACATCATGCGAACCTAAAAATACAAAACGAAATTATTTTATCATTAAGATGAATAATGCCTGTTGTTGAACTCTGATAATATCTACTAGAGTTCAATCGCAAGTTCTAGAGATTAGGTCGAATCTGGCGATTGGAGCCTTATAACTAGGATTCTGACAGGGTTACTCGAGAGCAAGTGTGTGTCACAGGTGAGTTAGCATATTATAAGATGAATGATTCGAGACAAGCAATCGTTAATGACTCGTTTAGGATTATTTCATGATTAATAGTAGTATCAAGATTTGAACACAATAGCTATTGTATAATATGGTGAAGAACATAGTCACTCAGCTATGATGGCAAATGAAGAGAAAACTAGAACTCACATCCACAACTCCTATTAATTAAAGTTCTTGATATTTTTCCTTTCAGTCTTTCTATCATACATCTCTGACAAAATCGAATTGCAGTGATACATATTTGATAGGATTTGATCATGATGGTTGCATTTGGATAATAGTAACTACAAAGTACATTTTAATTGTATCAACATCATAGACTCAAATCCAGCCGAGTTCAAGTATTCTATAAATTATTTACATCTACGTAGTTATCATTATTAACACTGTTATGATGCTTTTCAAATCAATTCTTCATTCGTATTGAATAGGCTCCACTAGAATTACGAGTTAGGATTCAAAATAACTATTTCATTAGAATAGTCTATAGCCGGTATTATTTCATATCTAGCACACTAGCCAGATTTAGTACTCGTGTTTTTTTTCTCTTCAACTTACCATAATAACTAATTCACCTAATTTAATTTCAACTATTTTTGCTCGTAATGTTTTAAATGAAATAGATATTGTACGAAAGAAGACCATAAATCGAAACCATATACATACAACCGTAACTGATGCAACATACATATGAATACGTGCACGAATTACTGTATGATCAAGAACATCGACAGCATGTGTTATTATTGTTATTAAACATAATACATAAATAATCCAATCAAATAAATTATTTAATGAATAATACATATAATACGATTTAATACGTCTCTTTGCACTGGTTTTATAACGTTGAAGAAATTGAACAAATCTTGATGATGTTACAGGTTGAGTTTTTTCAGTTGTATTATTAGGTCCACTTTTCTTTTTCGAATCATTAAAAAGGCTATTTGAAGGATCAATCGGATTAATTGGTGCATCCAATGGTTGTTGTTGATTTGGTAAAGGTTCACTTGGTTTACCTTTGATTATTGTTGGTATTGTCGTTGGTAATGGATGATGTTGAGAATGATGAGAACGCACTCCCGATACAGTAGGATTTGATGATACATCTGTTGTTTGTGCTGTTGTTGCTGTTTCATTAATAGTAATATGTCCCGTATCACCAATATCATTTTCAAACTTTCCAAGATTATTATTTGATGATTGTATAGCCGTATTTGGTTTATATTTATTTTTTGAAATTAGATCTAATCGATTTTGTGTTCGTTCAGTTTCCCAAATAACATAATCTTCATAACGTTTTCTTGCATATCTTATGTCATACAGCTCGAGAACAATAGCCCATATTAAAAAACCAATACTACCAGACCATAATACCAAACGCCAAATATCTTGAGGAAAACGATACATATAACGAATAGGAAATGCACCTATCAATGAAGTACATGTCCATAAAATAAGAAATAAAACTTCAAATGCTAAACGAAGATAAAAATGTTTTGCAGCATATTTGTCCCATTTCCATCTGATAAGACCTTTGAATAAAAATAAAAAAATTTGATTAGCTAATGAATACAAATGGGTATGCATTTTAGAAAACGATACAAACAAATAGAAGTTAGTCAACTGGAAAAAGAAAATTTTTATAATCGATATCAATTTAGTTACGTCGTAGAATAAAAGAATCTTCTCAGCACTTACAATATTTCATTTCATATGTTCCCACTGACCACAACAGATGCCTTACAAAGAAAGTCTTCCAATTGACAAATTACTTTTGAATCAAAAATATCCGTATTATGTAGATTAAAATGAACTATGAATACTTTAAAAATTTTGCATTGTTGAATTATTACTGCAGAAATATTGCAATCATACGGTACTGTGGTCTCCCTCAGGAATGCTAGAAACGTTGTACAAAAATAGATGTTAATTAGAATAGTTTTTTGTGAATGTTTCAGATTTTGTCACCGTTCCTATCCTAAGATATAACTATGGTAATAATGTGTCTTTTATATCGCTCATATAAACTGACAGATTTTTGTGTTCTTATTTCAGAATAGAAGCAAATCAAAAGACCTGAAACTTTTATAATAAACGACTGTTAATAAGCTCTGTTTATGTACAAAGTTTCAAGTCAAAATTCGAAAATCAGTTTTTCTGAACCACGACATTCATTTAAAACATATCCTACAATAAGTTCCAAAATAAATAGAATAAAACAATCTCTCTGTGATTAGTGATAGTAGCAACATCGTGTCTCACATTTTAATCCAGCAGAGATAGCACTACAAGCTTTTTCTTTAATATCTGTTCGCGATGAAAATGAAAGAAAAATAATCAACTACCCTTAATAAGTGGATGAGTTATTAAGTCAAGACGTTCATGATAAAAAATAGCTTCTAATGGTGTTATTGGACGATAATGTGTGCCATCAGGTCGAGATTTCGTTATACCCGGCGTGGGAGGAACATATGCAGAATTTGTTGTTGATTCTGATATATTAGTAAGAGATGGTCCAGGTGGATTTAAAAAAGGATTAATATTTGTAGATGGACCTATTGATATATTTGTAGCAACTGATGATAATGATGCACCAGAATTAATTTGTACGAATGGTACGGTTGAAGCTGTTTCTTTAGAACGATTGTTTACATTTCGCTAAAAATTAATTACAGATAATTATAAATAAATAAAAATAAACAAAATAACAAACCATTCGACTATCAGTAGCAAATACTAATTGATTAAGATTTGATGATTCACTTAAATTAATTTTATCAAATTCTTCCCTAAAAAAGACACGACATTTAATGATAGTTATTCAATATGTTTTCTTTAATTCATACCATGGTTCAATATGATCAAGATAAAGATGAATAGCTTTTTGTACTTCATTAACAACAATTAATGAATCCATGATATCAAGTGCAATAGTACTTGATTCATCACTGAATAATAATGCTAAAAATATTTGCATACTATTATCAAGTGATTTATATAAGCAAACATTGCATTTAGCACATGGTCGTATACTTTGTCCAGATGTTAATTCAATTAAACCTGTTTGTTCACAATTAAAACATTGTCGTTTAGCTTGTGTAACACCAGTTAGTGATACACCACAATGACCATCACGTAATGAATGTGATAAATATTCATAGGATTCTTTCCATTTATAATTAATTAATTTAATAACAGCATAATGTCGAAATTTATTTGCTAATTCCATTGGTGTTTTATTTTCATTATTTTTTGATAACATCATATTAGCCCAAAACCAAAATTTAACACGAGACAAATTAAGAAAACATGTTAGAGCATTTGGTGTATCTTCACGAGCTAGAATTCAAAGCATAAATTAAAATTTTGAAGTTTCACATTAGAATGTGTTAAATTATGAACACTAGTTTTAAAATTCGCTCGAGAATAATTTTTCGAATGTCTAAGATTTGAGAGAAATAAGTTAAGAACATGTACTCTTTTCATGGTATGGAGGACTAATTAGGGTCGATATAATACACATAGTCGTATTTAGCAAACGAATGAACAGTGAAGAATGTTTTCTGGTGAGAAAAAAACAAGTAGTATCAATACTCTCTGCCTTTTACGAAGATATGCTGATGTTAATAGAATATAGTTTCTAGCAGCTATTTGGAGTTAGCTTTCAAATAGACTCTATTTCTAGCGAATATACTGTGTTTAGAATTCCTAATGAAAGTTAATTTTATTTATATTAGCAATATTTATGTATACTATACCTGCAATATGAAGTAAATTATCACCATAAGCTAAACTACTTTCGGATAAATATGCTAATAATTCATTATCAGATATAAATGAAAGTAACGTTTCAAGACAAATTAAATTATTGAAATCTTTTCTCATAAATATATGTATAATCATATCACCATGTGCTGATGAACGTACACGTAAACAATTACGATCTTTTTCAATTAATAATTTAATCATTTCATAATTATTCATTTGTATAGCCATTTTTAAATCAGTTAATTGTACACGAATATTTTCTTGACTAAGTAAAAATTTACCAACATCATCATGATTATATAAGATTGCTAAACCAAGTGGTGATTGAATATCAGTATTTAATAGATTTATATCAATATTTGATGATTTGATTAATGTTTGTACTAGTTCAATATTACCTAACAAATAAAACAAAATTAACAGAATTAATTTCCAAATTTCGAAAACTAATAAGGATGGATGCAAGTGAGAGTGAGGAGTGGTGCTAAGACTAAGGATGAAAGTAAAAATATGTTATTGAAGTGGAACGAATAGTCACTGCCACTGTAATCAAGAAAATATTGGTATCAGCGAAATAACATATCTTGTTTTTTATCACTGATTTCTGCTTTTTCTGTTATTTATCTCAAGTTACTTTTGTCCAAAATTAGAAGCCAATATCCAACATTCCAGTAAAAGTTAGTAATAATTTGAGATTTGCTACGATCTCAACATACATCTTTTCTTATTTACATTTCGCATAAATTGTAACGTTTCTTTGATTTACATACCATAATTGATTGATGTGCATTATAGCACATTACGATTTGTATCTCCGTTTTATTAAGCTCTTAATAAAATCTTTCTGTTGTGCAATCTTTCTATGAAAGTTAGTCATCATGAGCAATGTCGTATTCGTCTTATAATTTCAAAAATTCTAATAGAACATGCCTAGTTACAACTATGATCTAACTACTAAAACTTTCTAACAATTCTTTTATCATTCTAAAATATCCTTGAAAATATTTCTATTTATTTCATACAGAATATTGAATGTATTTCTTTTGATACATACCTTTTTCTGTTGCTAAATGTAAAGGAGTATTATGTCTTAGATCTTTCGAATTTCCATCTGCACCATGACGAATTAAATATTTAGCTAATGAACCATTTATATTATCTGCACATTCATGTAATGGTGTGCATCCTTGTATATCTAATAAATTCATTTGTTCAGTTTTCATCTTATTAATTAATATAGCAGCAACATTAGGTTTTTCATTAGCACAAGCTAAATGTAATGCTGTTTTGCCCATTTTATTAACTGCAATTAAATCAAGGTGTGGATATTTCATTAATAATCTACACATTTTTGTATTATCATCTCTTGCAGCTAAATGTAATGGTGTATTTCCATCTTTATTTGCTAAACTAAGATCAGCACCATGTTGAAGAAGATATTGTGCAAATGGATAATTATCAAATACTATAGCATCATGTAATGCTGTTTGTCCATCACGATTTTGTGCATTTAATGATAATGGATTTGATTGTAAAACCGTGTCATAAATAACATTATCGTCTAAATATTTACAATAATGTAATGCTGTATTTGATAGTGAATCAACAACATTTATATTTGTTAATTCAATATGACGAAAAAACGCAGCAATCAATTGAAAATTTTTTTGTTCAAGTGCTTCAAGAAATGGTGTACGTCCAAGACGATTTTGTCGATTAAAATCAGCTGATACTGCAACTAATTTTTCGATATATTTCTCATAATCAATATCTTTTTTATTAACTAAATAATGTAAAAATGTATTACCACGTTCATCACATGCATCTATATCAAGTGAATGTGCAACAAGTAATTCAATAGCATATATAGTTGGAAAATCACATAATAACGGTGAACGTGGTAATTGTGAAAAATAACGTTTCCAATTAAAATTCATTGTTAATTCAAATAGAACTTTTAAACATAGATCATGTTGATATTTAACACATATAGTTATTGGTGTTTCTTGCGAATTTAAACGTGTACCTTTCTGAAAATCAGCATCATTTTCAAGTAAAGCTTTTAATGCATCAATATTATTTTCATAACAACATATGTGTAATGGTGTACAACCATCTTCATCAAAAACATTTACACGTGCTCTATAAGTTTTTATTAAAAGACGTATAAAAACACTATCATTATTTCGCGCTGCAATATGAAGAAGTTGAGTTTGACTTGGATATCCTAATAATAATTGAAAACAAGAAAACAAAAATAAGCAAAAATAAAAACAACAAATTAAACAAACCATTATGTGCATCGAATGTTGATAAATTAACATCAACCATGACTTTGAGTAAATATATAGTTAAATCATTATTTCGTGTTGTTAATGCATAATGAGCTAAACCAACATGTATAAAATTTTAAATAATTCATTATAAAAATACAGATTCTCTAGTATTTAAAATAACTGTTAAGATTTTTTAACAATGCTATTTCTTATATCATAAATATTTCTTCCATTCAAACGATCAAATCTGAAGTATTTTGTTTAGCCTACATGTTTCAGGTCGTACATATGAAATAACTGTCAGAGATGTGTGGTCGTAAGCATTGTTGAGAACACAAAAGGATTCTTTCGGCTACTAATGCATTTCTTTATTGAGATCAATAGTGCTACTTCAAAATAGTATCTCATGATGTTTTTTGTAAAAATAAAAAAATAATGGATCCTTTATTACCTAGGAAAAAACCACACAGGAAATACGAAATCTTATCGAATCAAGTACGCAAAAGGGATATGATGCCATAAAACTTCACGATTCATCAAAGATTTTGAATTCTATGATCTTTTTGTTATTCCTTATACAAAAAATAAGTTGAAAGAAGAAAGAAACCCAATTCTTAATAGTTCTAATTAGCCTCGAATAAGTTCTTCAATTGAAATTTACAATCAAGTGAGCATAAATCTGAATGAAAGTAATTTCTCTTATTAAAAACATTTTTAATTAAAAGAAAATTTCATACCTGCTGTCCATCCATAATCATTCTGTCTGTTTGGATCACAACCTTTTCTTGTTAAATAATCCACAATATTAATACAATCTTTTGAATGTATTTCTGCTCGTGCAAGTAAATGCAAAGCCGTATTTCCCTCATCAGTTATAGCATTTAATTGTGCTCCATTCTTTTCATATTCTTGTATTGTATCTAAGCTTGGATGTGGTTCAGATAAAATATAACTTAATAATGCTTTATTTTCCTCTGCTGATGAAAAAAAAGGATCAGGTGCATTTGTTTTTCCAAATAAAGATTTTCTTGCATCAGTTAATTTCGCAATTATTGAATGAGGATTTCTAAGAGGTGATACATTTGGGTTTACTGTTATTTTATTTGTCATTAGCTGACTTGTTGTAACATTGGGACGATTTCTATCATCTTCATTATTGGCTAATGGCATTGATTGTATTGATGATAAATTTGAAGACATGTCAGGTGCTGAAACCGTTGCTGTCAATGGATTATTTCTGATTGTGATTGGTGGCTCAGTTGATAAAGTATTTTGATTTGTTAATCTATTATCATTATTATTAGTATCATCTTCGTTTGATGGATGAATTGATTGCCTGAACAAATGATATTTTGATTTTATATTATTATGACGTATAAATCAAATACGAAAAGAGAAAATTTCTAAAAATGTATTTTCGTTATGCTAATTCAATGTCAAATAGAAATGTGTGAGTAATGAAAAACTAAAATTTATATTAAAATTAGTAATATCAATGCTAAAGGGGAAGAATAAAAAATAAAACATTGATATTATATATCAATAGATTTGCACATGAAAAAATATTTAAAGTTTTGCTTTTTTTGTTATATTTAATCCGTAGTTACTAAATCAACTGTTTATTTACATGAATAATACTTACATATTTGCTTTTCAACTTCTCCCTATATTATGTTTGTCACTTGATAGAACCAAAAAGATGTACTCAATAAATGTCTCAATGATATACTAGTCTTTTCTTATTATGTAGATACATTCTTAGAATAACACAACGATTATTTCTTTTTTTTTCCCTTGATAGTTATTTATGATTAACTCCATAATTATAATAAGCATAGCGAAAGAGTCAATGTCCTTCTATTGAATGACACCAAAAGAGACAATTCTTTTAATCATTAGTAAATGTCCTACTGCAACTAAATCTATCGATAAGAACTTGTCCAATGTTTTTCTTTTTCATTAAATAATTAGACTATAAACAGATGTGTCAAATTAGATCGATGAATCGGAAATCAATCTAGTTATAAATATTATTTACTTACCCTCATTTAATACTTAAGGAAGAACCTATGTAAAGTTTTTAAAATAAGTATAAAGCTAACAGAGAATAAAATAAAATAATTTTTGGCTAAATTAATAAATGCATTAAATTATTTTCGATAATTTCAATTAAAAAAAATTATGCTTTTCTGATTGTTCTGATGATGAAAAAAATAATTATACTAATCAATTAATGTTACTAAATCACGGTGATCTCATTTGATAGATGCATCATTAAAATTCTGATGAACGTGGTCATTGCTCATATTATTATTGTTTTTTTTGCAAAAAAAGACAGAGATAACACATCTACTTAGGCATCTCAAAGAGTACGTCATTCTAGTCACATGTGTCAATCAGTATTACTCATGAAAAGTATTTTTAACAGTTAATTATATCCTTCAGGTGAATGTGTATATAGCAAAACATGTCGCTTAAACTTGATACCTCTCTTGTATACAAAGAAAAAAAACAACTAGATAACTTATGTACATATATTTATCAATTTATAGAATTGTTGATGAAAATATATGTTGATAGCTACAATTTGATAAATGAAGATAATAAGAAACAAGAAATATCTACCGCCGTTGTCGAAATGGACGCCGAGGCATATTGATGAAATCAATAGTATAGTGTTGAGTCTAATGTGGATGTATTTTGTCGTCTGTAAGATAAATAAATGAAGTATGGCTCAGCTGTAGGGCGTGATGAATGATATTTGATGACAAAAAAATTTATTGCTGTTCTCATAGTGATATCAAACACTAAGAGAGAACAAAAGTATAAAATAATTCCTTCTTTTCTCTTCTTCAATCTGAAATGCAGTCCTAACCAAATATTATATTCTCGTTAAAAATTGATTTGTTTTTTTCTTTGGTATCCTCGTATTCCATTATGTTATTATATAAGTTAAAATTTTATCTATACTGACCGCTGTTCGTATATACTTTTTACTGATGTTTATAAACGTATCATAGACATTTTTCTTTTCCTTTTTTCTTTTTTTCATAATGACTAACGAAAAAACTCATTTACACGACTTTACACAATAGAAAAGGAATAAATAAATCAGAAAAAAAGAAACGAAACGAAAAGAAGTATCATTTGGTTTCAATTTTCGTAACTTGTATTGTCTTCACTTAATTTAGATGCTTTTTATAGATGCGTTTCTATAACAAATCTTTTTTTGTTGCTTTTAGTACACATAAAAAGTTTATGTATCAAAGAAAACAAATGCTTTTTATCACGTTTCTTTTTCAAATACTAAAATATTTCACAATGTCAATAAAAATATTTAAAAGTACAGAAAAGTTATCATCTAATTAAATCGATATCTTCATACTCTTTATTCCGAAACATAAATTCTTTTATCCAAGATATATTTCATACTTCGAACAATATAACTGCAAAAATAAACTGGATCTAATCCTGAAAAATCAAATCGTTCAATTTGTATATTAAATATTCTTTATATCAATATTCACACATATTTAATAAATAATATATATAATTTAGGATTTACTTACAAATGAATAATACGTGTTACAACTGATTGTTTTCTTAAGCGAGGCATATTGAAATAATGATGATCACAAAGTAAAAACCAATTATAACAACAATATATGATGTTTCGATTGGTTTTATCTAATATAGAAATAAGTAAATCATTATTGACATATATATGAAGAAAAAAAAAAAGAAACGATGCAAAACTAGATAAAAAATGTATTTATTAAATTTATACTAGAGCATTTAAGAAATAAGAAGGTAACAAGCATTGAAGCATATATCAAATTTATGTATACATAAATTTTGTGATCAATGTGTATAAAGAACGAAAGAAAAGAAAGTTAATTTGAAACACTAAATTAAGCTAATATATGTACTGTATGCATGACACCAGCTGCATGGATAAAGACAGCCCACTCACTCATCTTTTTCTCTATAGTTTATCATTGCCTGCTTTCAGCAACGCTTGGTGATCAATTAGATTGATGGATATAAAGGGCATTTGAGGCGTATTAGATCATAATTGTGATTAGTAATAGAATCTGCCAATTCTCTTGTTTCTTCGCTTTTTAAACATTGCATAGTTATTTGTCAAGAATGAAATATAAATTTTTAATGGATGTCATACTTAAAAGACGAATCAATTAGTAAAAAGCTGAATATTGTAATTCTGAACAACTTATATGAAGAATCCATTCGGTGTTAGAAAATAGATTTTATCATTGTCTAGGTCTTTGAATAGTTATGATCTACGCAATCAACTAGTTGCTGTTGCTGTTTGTTAATTATATTATCAGATTATTCTAGCTATTCATCATAACCAGATATACTATCTAGTTTTTGTCATTTACAAGACTGAGTCTTCATCACATATGTTATTTGTTATGTACTGATAGCACATTAGATTAACTAGGAATAAAGAAATTCAGAAAGTTATATGATAGATTTTTGATAATTTAAAATGCTGTCAATTAAAATTGAAAATATCGCTTATCCTAGAGTAATTATTCGTAATGATTGCACTTGAAAGTTGTCTTTTTATTAATATTAATATCTGTTTCAAAAAAGAACAAGTGTTTTATGTCTTAAAATATTCCTGTTCATTAAAAACTACGATATCAATTTATGAAAACAAGTGATAATAGAAAAATATTGTTTACTTTTCGAACCCTATGAATACAATTCTCTGTATTTGATTGAATATTTTGATAGTTCAATATATATAATAAAATTCTTTTATTTCAAATGGAATCGAAAGATCTCTTTATAAAGTTTCTCGTAAGCATTTAATTAATGTCTCATTATCAATTCCAGCTCCACTCAAAACTGCTACAAGTTTGAATGGCTCATTACGATCTTTTCCTCTTAATCCAGCTTGACCATTTTCTACATAATTCATATAATGCCATAATCCAGCAGCTAATGTTGTTGCACTAGCACCTTCACATATTATATGATTTCTTTCTATTAATATTTTTAATGCTTTGGCTGTTTCTTTTAATGTAACAACAACAGAATTATCAACACAACTTTTAACTAATGGCCACATTTCATTTAATACACTTGAACTACCTATTCCATCAACCCAAGATTTCTTCATTGGAATTTCAGTTATTGTGTTATTCTTAAATGCAGCAGCAAGAGGAGCAGCTGTTTCAATTTCACAAGCTAAAACATCAATTGATGGTTTCAAATGTTTAGCTACAGACGCAATACCAGTAATTAAAGCACCACCACCGTAAGGTACTAAACACATTTGAAAAAAAAGTCATAAGCAGATAATTATTAAAAAAATAAAATGAAAGTTATGCTTTTTTTTTGAGAAATAATTTTTTAAGAATAGAAGATTTCTTACGGATTAAGCTCTGTGGTACACAATCTAAAAGGATTGTTGAAGTACAGGAGAAAAAATTTGGATTTCTCATGGATCAGGGTAGACATTTTTAAAACACTTCTCCCTTGTCGCAGACTGGATATGAATAACATCTGGTTATAATATATAAAGTACTCACTTATTAAGTTTCTAGAGGATTAAATAAAAGATTGGTGAAGAAATGTGTGTCACTAACGAAAGAATAAAAACAATCTCTTTGTGATTAATAACAGCAGCTACATTATGTTTCATATTTTAATCTCATAGAGATTTTGCTAATGGTTTTGTTAAAAATCTTTCAGAACATTTTTCTTTAGGTGTCTATATTGATTTACCTAGTATTGCATCACAATCAGGTAATTCATCTAATATTTCCAATGCAATAGTACCATTGCCGGCTATAACATTTCGATCACATACTGGATGAATAAAATGACCATCTAACATTGAACATTGATGAGTAACAATAACTTGCCACCATTGTTCAAAACTACATTTAGTAATTTTTCCTCCTAATCTTTCAATTGCTTTTAACTTAACTTCATTTGCTGTTTCGGGTACTAAAACTTGACATTTTATATTTTCTTTGCCGGCAATCCAAGCTAAACCTTGTGCCATATTACCAGCTGATGCTGTTACTATACCATTTTGTTTTTCTTCTACAGGTAAAATTTTAACAGCATTTGTAGCACCACGTATTTTAAATGATGATATCGGTTGAAATTGTTCACATTTCAAATAGATTTCAATTCCAGGAGTTTCATAATTTAATTTAAGAAGTGGAGTACGAGTCACAATATTACGTAAACGTGTTTGAGCTTCATAAATTTCATCAATTGATGGAATAGAAAGAGGCGAAGACATTTTTCTTCTTAAAAAACAAACTACTTTTCTTTATCACATGAAATGAAAACCGAGTTAAACGGACGCAAACGTTATCGTAGAAATGGATAAAATGTAACTTACGTGTTTTTTCTTTTTCTTGTTTTATCAATGACATCAGAGTTTATAAATCTTATCTTTTTTTCTTATTCGCGTTCAACTATTTATCAATAAAACACAATCTAAGTTATGCAGTAAAACAACTTGACTTGTGTTTCTTTTTTCGAAGGTAGCTGTATCCAATAACTTGAATATCAAACATATGACAACGATAATCACCATTGTCTTCTTAAAATGCTCTATTTTTTAGCACTATTACACAATCTTATCAGATGAAGCAAAAAAAGAAGATAGTGTAATTTGTTTGTATATTATCATCTGCAACCATTTTTCGAATTGACAAGATATTGCCAAGAAACAATCACTAATGACTTTTCCAGGAAAATCGAATCATTTATGAAAAAATGAATATTCACTTTCGTATATAGTACACAAAAAATCAAATTATTAAAAAAATAACGTTGAAAATTAATTAATCTTTTCACTTAATTTTCTCCTAAAATTCGAAATATTCCAAATCTTCTTGTAATAGTCTCTTCATAATTAATGTAATTAATCACTTTAAAGAGTTTTATTTGAATATAATCTATATAATCGTACAATCAAGCAAAGATCTAGTGGCAATAATATAGAAAACGCTCTGGTCCCCTTTCCGCAATAGAACATCCCTATTTTCTTGAAGTTGGAACTGTAATTAGTATGTTTACGCCAACATATACTTAGTTTTCATGATTTTGAGCAGCGGTCGAGTCAGAGCGCTCAGTCTCTTTCTATGAATCTTTGAACTCCCCTAGTTTAAAATTCTGGCTTCATCAATAGTTTTGGACCGAGAAACCTTAAAAAGCTGTAGTCAACATGATTTCTAGATATTGAAAAATCTACGAGTTCTTTCGCAAACCCTTGAAATCTTCTTCATTATTAAACTAGAACTAGCCCAGATGTACAGGAACTATGTCCAAGATTGATGGATAAAAGAGTTATTGGAATCAAGTGAATTGATCCTGTACATTGCCAATCATGACATAAGTGACAGCAATCTAAGATTTCTCCATTTTAGATGATATGAAAGAAGTCGAAGCTAATTCATAGGGAATATACAAATGTACACTTCATATAAACATTGCGGAACTACAGAACCTCAAAATCTTAAAATAAAAGTATTTACATACGATAACTTGGAACTTGTCGTTTATGTTTCATCATAAAACATCGATATTAAATCAATTAGTATATTAGTAAACTATGCTAGTCTTTGAGTAGAAGGTTCTTGTCATTAATTCAAACCTGAAAATTATTCGTCTGTTTTTTTTAATTCATTAAGTAGTTCAAAAACCAGCTAAAGATTGAGTATATTCAATACTAACAATAGATGTCGTCCTACGAAGACCTATGATATTCTCTCCTCAATAATTTTATTGGTTAAAATGAATGATTCAATTATTTTCTTTTCTAATGCAATGTATCTCGTTTTCTGATCAAGTTTTTTCAAAGTTTTGCTTTTTCTAGATAATTCTTCAATGGCATATTTACTTCGTCTACTTCGTCTTCGTTATTTAATCTTTGGCACAGCTGTTGGTGGTGGTTATGCAGCTCATAAAGTAAATAAAAACAAAATATTTCTTTTTCAAATATTTAAAATGTATTATTTTTATAGAAATATAAAGATATTAAAGAAGCTTTACCAGATTTATCATGGATGAAAGAATATATGCCAGAAGAAAGTGTTGATGCTTTAACGAAACGTTTATCTGATTTAGCTAATTCTGTTTCACTACCTGATACTGTAAGAAAATCAATATTGAAGAAAAAAAAAACAATGTTTTTTCTATTATTCATATAGACGAATTTACAAGATCGTGTCAAACAATTACAAGAAAAATTTGCAAATTATCTTTCAACAATATCTTCAAGTAATACACCGGATGATAAGAATATAAATGAACAACAACAAACATCGGGTAAAAATCTATTGTTGGATTAAAATGAACTATTTTGAGGTTTAGATGGTCTTTTTACTTGGGCAAATTCGTATAAAAATGTGCAACTAAAAAGTGAAGAAATTCAAAGATTAAACAAAGTTTGTTTCTATTTTCTTTTTCTTTGTATTTTCAAAAAAATTTATTAAAAATAGGCAGCTCAATTAGGAGAACATCAACATCAAGAAAAAATTCATCAAGAAATGATGACTATACAAATAAATTATCAACGTGAAATTGATCGATTAGAAAAAGAAATAAAAACAATGAAAAAACAAATTTTATTACGACAAGAAAGAAATCTTAATGGAAAAAAACAACGAAAAATAAAGGTTTATTTTTTTTTAGAATTTAATTAAAACTTTAATATCGGTTTGGTTTTTTTCTTCTAGAGATCACTTATTGATATGTATAGTGATGTTCTGGATGAATTAAGTGAATATGATACAAATTATAATATTCAAGATCATTTACCTCGAGTAAATATTTTCGTATTTAAGTTTTGAATAAGATCAAGAATAGAAGTTCGAATGAAATCTATTCGATATTTGAGTGTTTCTGAGTATAAAACCTTCGCGTCTTGTTAGCAGGACGCTAACTACAAAGCTCAGCGACTGATAGTTCTAAACCGTAACTGACTATTATTAAAAAATAGCAGCAAGTTCTATGAAATTTGAACGGATTTCATAAGTAATTTTACATTTCAGCATGATCTGGAATGTACTTCAGATACTTAAAGTAGAGGTACAACAAATCTAGAATAGATTTCTGTCCAAGAGCATTGGAATTTCAGTTGTATTTGGAGCACGGATTGGCTGTTAGAAAAAATCAATAAATAGCTTATCCATTTGGTCGCTGTTATCAAAAAACACAAACTAGTTATATTACTTTTCTTCAAGATAAAATCCAAACAAAAAACCAAATAACGCCAAGCTTCAAAGGCTTCAAGTTTGTTGCTCTCTTCACCTAAAGAGATACAGCAGGGTTTATTCAAGAGAGAGAAACAGACGGACAATAAATGTTAACTTTTCGGCTAAAATAAGATCTTCGAAAAGAAGATAGTGTCAGTGATTTTCTTACAAATTCTTTATATACTAAGTGTATTCTAAAGTTTTAGAAGACTTTTATCTGACTTTACAACTAATATCTTTTTTATTTTCTTCTGGAGTTCGTGAATTTTAAATTGCGGAGACTTTTCGTTGTTTTTTCCTTGACAGAACGATTGATTCATTTGTCTAATCAAGTTCAATGGCAGTAGAGTTCTGCGTAGAGCTCTAAAACTCGTTCCCAAATCGATAGAATTGAAATCATTAAAAGCAAATTTTCTGGACTCAAACGTCGGCGTTATATCAGTATAACATTCAAGTTCTTCTAATCTTACATAATAAAAAGTTGATTCTTCCTACGTGAATCCATGGACAAAAACTATTCTACTTTGTAGTTCATAAAATAAATTTCTAGACAAAAAATATCATCAGTAAAATATTTTTTCTACTTATATCGCTTTGATAAATGATATCAAAAATATTAAGAATTTTCTGTAAAAACAATAATTGGTTGAACTGTTTTTTGAATATCGATATTTCTTCATGCACAAAGTACTTTTCTTTCCGTAATCTGTATCTAAATGATCTCCTCCATAAAACACTCGATAGAAGTAAAATATTGAGTATTTGCGTAATGAATATATTTTCTTAACATCTAAAAAAGAATTCCTTTTCTTATTATAAGTTCATTATCATCAAATTTTCTCTTTATAATTGTTCAACACAAGAACTATTCTTTGCCTTTGAATTTAGGTTGTTGTTATTGGTGATCAAAGTTCTGGTAAAACAAGTGTACTGGAAATGATAACACAAGCACGAATATTTCCTCGGTTTATTCATGTTTTATTTTCTCTCTTGTTTATAATATTTATTTGTTTCTCACTTTTATAGGGGTGCTGGTGAAATGATGACACGTAGTCCAGTAAAAGTCACTTTAAGTGAAGGTCCTTATCATGTTGCAACATTTAAAGATAGTACTAAAGAATATGATTTAACAAAAGAAGCAGATGTAAGTATATATATATATGAAGTTATTCTAATTTCAGAGTAAAAGACAAACAAATTAATTTTCTCATTTTTAGTTAGCTGCTCTTCGAAAAGAAATTGAACTTCGTATGCGTGCATCAGTCAAAGAAGGTCAAACAATTAGTAATGAAGTTAGTCAAAGCTATTCAATATATAAAATATTCTACAGAATACTTTAGGTTATTTCATTATCAGTCAAAGGTCCTGGTCTTCAACGTATGGTACTAGTTGATTTACCTGGCATTATTAGTGTAAGTTATTCATATTCAGAATATTTCTTCCAAAGCTTGATGTTCAATAAAACTGACTTGTAGGCAGGCATAACGAATAATCCCTAACGACATGTATTTAGAAAAGGTTTGAATACTCATGTCGATCTTTGAAATGATATGTCATTGCATGTAAATATGGACCAGATGATATTAGCGAGACCGGGAACAACATTTTTTTCATTGGAAGTGATAACCTTTACGGTCGTGTAAGATTTGCGTCACATGTTATATCCTCATGGTTCTCGTATTCTAAAAGTTTATGTTAAGTAACAATCATTTCAATATTTGCTGCTACAATTTTGATAGTAAAATTAGTCCTTCTTTTTCATAAACAACAGAGTTATCGAACATATAAGCTACAGGGTAGATGAAGTGTTAGTGAATTTTAAAAAAGTAATGAATCTTCAAGAGGAAAAACGTTAGAGATCATACGACTTGTGCAAAAAAAGTTTCGAACACATGATATCTCAGTTTTCGCTAGTACATCTCTTACTAAGCGTGAAACTAGAATCAAAGATGACTGGCTCCGCTCAGCAGTAATTGAATGATATCTTCTCTTACAAATAATAAAAATATAAGCATGAGAATGTGATAATACATTTTTTCTAAACTGTGTCAAGCAGAGTTTAGCTGACGTGGCTTCGATCGCTGGGAGCTCGATTTGGCTATTCTGTCTTGGTTATGTTACGAAATAAAACAGTGGACATATTTCGAGGTTACATAAACAACGGTAAAGTAAACACAAAAAAGACGTTATATGAATAGTGACTTACACATGAGATTTATTTAATGATCGAGTTTTATTTCAAGATGGTGGTACTAAATGTGATGATGTGCAGCTCATTGAATGGGGAAAAAAGAATAAAGGATAGTGATTGTTAAAATTCTTTAGAAGACTTAGTCAAATGATGAAAAACAAATATATGACAATAAAAACGATTTTTCTCGAATTAGAGTACTATATGTACTAACATAATCTGGTGTTTTCCGTGCTTTCAATAAAATATTCATCAATTTCGAAAAATCTATTATCATATTTTCCTGTTTATATTTTTATTATCATAATAAAAAATTTCATTCAATAGTATTTCATTTGCAACTAAAACTTATGAACCACTCTATAGTGTACTTTTATGAAATTTTTAACTACAGACGGAAACAATTGGCATGGCATCGGATACAAAAAATTCTATTGCTCGTTTAGCAAATAGTTATATGTCAAATCCGAATGCAATTATTCTTTGTATTCAAGGTAAATGTTTGATTTTTTTTATCTTAACAGGTAAACGTAACATATTTATTTTAAGATGGAAGTGTTGATGCTGAACGTAGTAATGTAACAGAACTTGTTTCAAAAATGGATCCACATGGTAAACGAACTATATTTGTTCTAACAAAAGTCGATATGGCTGAAGCAAATCTACATGATACTGATCGAGTTAGTTAAAATTTATTTACAATTATTTCAAAATAGAATGTTTTTTTTTGTTTTTATCTTGTTTAGATCAAAAGAATTCTTGAAGGCAAATTATTTCCAATGAAAGCTTTAGGCTATTTTGCAGTTGTTACTGGCAAAGGTTAGATATTTAGAAAAAATCTACGAATATATTCATTTTTTTCATGACCGTTTTGAAAAATACTGTGTTTAAAACAATTAATTTAAAAAATTTGTAAGAGCAGTCAGTTTTTCGATACTTCAGAAACAACACATTAAAAAAACACACTATTGCATTTATTTCAGTATTGCAAGCAGAAGTATTTTTTTAATGACGCTCTATTCTTCGTTTTGCATTATTATTTTCTTCGTATTCTGTTTTTCTTAATTTAACATTATTATTATTCTAAACATTGATTTAACTAACCAATAAGTCTGTTATACTTATAGCAGGTCTTAACACATTATGATATATATCTTGATAAGCTCAGAAACTCTAATATTAATTGTTGTCTACAATCATCACTTAATCAATTCACACTTTTTATGATAATATTTAAATAGATTTCCGAAAGTTGTAACAGTCCTTAGAAAAAAAAAACCAGTTAATTTAGTATAAAATAATAAAAATGTGTTTATAGGAAATGCTGATGACCCAATAGAAACAATACAAAAATATGAAGAAGATTTTTTTCATAATTCAAAATTATTTCGGTATTAAAAAAAAATTTGTTTTCTAATTTCTTTTATTCATTTTTTAATTATTATTAAAGTGATGGTATTTTTAAAGCTAATCAAACAACAACACGTAATTTAAGTTTTGCTGTTAGTGATTGTTTCTGGAAAATGGTTAAAGAAAGTGTTGAACAACAAACTGATACATTTAAAGCAACAAAATTTAATTTAGAAACAGAATGGAAAAATAGTTTTCCAAAAATACGTGAACAAGATCGAGTTTGTAATTCCAAAATAAAATCTTTTCTATTATTTGAAATTTTTTGTATTTTATATCAGGATGAATTATTTGAAAAAGCACGTGGTGAAATACTTGATGAAGTTGTTAATCTTAGTTTAATACCAAGTCAACAATGGTAACAAAAGAAAACTCTCCGCAAAACTATATTCTTCTAAAATTTAAAAATTTCTTTTTTTTAGGGAAGATAATTTATCAAAATATTTATGGACAACAATGTCGAATTTTATTTTCGATGATGTATTTTTAACAGCTGCACAAGCTGAATCTATTGGGTAAAACTAAAAAAAGAGAATTTTCAAAGAATATAAAATTCTATATGTTTATTTTCATAGTGATTTTAATACAACAGTTGATGTTAAATTACAACAATGGACTGAAAAAGTATTACCACGTCAATGTATTGATATTGGTCATCTTGTTTTATTAGATGAATTTCAAAATTTAATTGAACGTGAACAAAAAAGTCGTTCATATGATCCAATAACACATGATTTAAAAATGCAAGTTGTTCAAGAATGTCGTACAAGACATCAATGGGATGTTAAAGCACTTGATTCACTTGTATATAAAAAAATGAACATTTGTTTTAATCATAAATCGATTTTCTTTTTTTTTGCTTATATAGAGAGTTATTCAAACACAAGCATTACAAGATCGTAATGTAACAGATAAACAACAATGGGAATCAGCTGCACAATTTATGGAAAATGTTATACGACAAGAATTAGAACAACAACAAGTAGAATTAAGTTCAAATAAAAATCAAAGTTCATGGCGTAAATTTATTGGTCTTCAACAATTAACAATAGAAGAAAAATATCGACAACAATGTGTTAAAGAATTAGAAAAAATCTTAAGTACTAGACAACAATTTGATCAAACAACGAAAAATAATTATAGAGTAAGTTTTATTCAAGAAGAAAATTAAAAATAAATAATCGAAGGAATATATCAAAAGATGGAAAGCAGATATAGTTAAAGTTTAGCAATTTGAATATTCTGCGAGAAAGGTATTTCAACTGATATCCAGCGTCTAAGTTTATATGTGGCTTAGAAGAAAGTCTTAGTGAGATTATCAAAAGTCTAAAAAGATTCGCCTCTATGAGCTTTTGATGCTGACGAAAGATGTTCTCCAAACTTTCAATCACGCTTGAGTCAAGACTAGATGCATTATGTAGATCCCAATAAGCAATAAATATCCTGAAAAACGTTCGTGCCTTTATTGACGAAGGAAGATTCTTTTTGGTTGAAAGTTTTTAGATATTCTTAGAGTCATTAGATCTATCTATAGCCAAATTTTTAAATCGAAATTCTGCTAAAATGAGTCGAAAACACAGTTATAACTCTGCAGCCAAGACTTACTGAGCCAAACCATTTCAGACATTTACTAGTCTCATCGAGATTTCCTTGGTCTAACATGAATTCTTTTTTATGAGTGAAAATAAAACTGATTCGCGTTGTTCAAGTTCTTCTAGATAGGTTTGGCAGGAAGATTGAATCCTCTTATGAATCTCAGATATGCATGTCGTTGATTCCTAACAAGCTAAGGTTTTAATATAAATATATACTTTAATATGATTTAGTTACGTTCTACTCTTGACTATGATGAATTAACAACTGTAAAGAAAAATCTTCAAGCACAAAAAATTGATGTATCTAATGATTTTGTATGTTAAATAGATATATTTTATTTATTTTCATGCATATATATATTTTTTTCATATGATTAGATAACTGATATATGGCAACGTGTATATAAAATTCATTTTCTTAAACGAAATTTATCGACATGTCTTGATTGTCGTCGATTTTTTTATTATTATCAAAAAGGTTTTTCAGATCAAGGTGTACGTCAATCCATGATAATTATTGATAAGATTTTGTTTTACATTTTATTATTTTTTAGCTTGATTGTCATGAAGTTGTATTTTTTTGGCGTTTAAAACGTATGATTGAAATAACAAGTAATGCTATTCGACAACAAATATCAAATATTGAAAGTAAATTTAAAAAACTGATATTAAATAGATTAAATTTCAATTTTGTAGCTCGTCGACTTGAACGAGAAGTCAAAGAAATTTTAGATGATTGTAGTAGTGATGAAACACTTAAAGCAAGTCTTCTTAAAGGAAAACGGGTTGATTTAGCTGAAGAACTTAGTAAGATATGTTCTTGAATTTTAAATAAGAAAAAAAAATTGTGTCTTCTTTTTTAGAACGTGTTCGCCAAGTTCAAGAAAAATTAGAAGAATTTATTGAAGCATTAAATACAGAAAACTAATATTCTTTATTACTATTTTTTGTGTTTGAAATTGTTTATCACGAATAACTGTTAATAATTACGCATGAACTATTCTCTTACTTTTTTTTAAAAATATTTTTAGAACAAAGCTCTATGTAATCTGAGGAAACATTTTTTTTTTCCTTTACAAAATTAGTTTTTCATGATATGAAAACAACGAAATGATTGCATTAACTAAATTAACTTTGGATGATAACAATATCTAAGTCTAAAATACAGAATATAAATCAGTGGATGACGAATCATTTTTTGATCTTTAACCAATTCAAAAAATAACTGCTTTTTTTCATGCATCAATTTTAGAATGTATATATATTGAAGATTATGCGGAAGTTTTTTTTATGCTGAAGACGAAAATTTGTTTGAGAGTTTATTAACAATGTAATGTAAGTGAGGATTGAAAATCATGTCAAAGTCATGCTATCTTCACTTACGCCCACAATTCGGATTACTGAAGTCGTGCCTTTTTCCTTCACTTTCTGCTATTGTGAACGCACTCGAAGACTCAGCTATAAAACTAAAGCCTTCTGTAGGATTACTATAGAAGAAACTTGAATTCAAAAATACCTATGTTTGGCCATCATTCTAGACTCACCGTTACATGTTTCGAATAACATCGTTCATCATGAATATATCAATACCTTGAAAGGCAGAATACTTTGACGTATTATTTGACTTTTTTTAGTAGAAAACAGCGACAACATTTAAAACTGCAATTTAAAAAAAAACCGTGATTAACCATAGATTTTCATGAACAAACGACGATATGAATACGTTTATGTTCAATTTTTTTTCTTGATAAAAATTGACTGTTTTCGTTTTATTTACTGTTACATATAGAAAAAAAAAACAAACTCGAGACAAAAAAGAAAAAGAAAAATACATCATTTAATATTTGGTTGATTACCCACTACTAGTATTACCACCTCCAAATATATTCAAAATGGAACGTCGTTTTTTTATATTCTCACGTTGTTGTTGATATTGTTCATATATATCACGTCCTTGTGGATTTTTCAATTTAATTATATTGAGAATTTGATCACTAAACTGTTCAGCTATTTCTATTGTTGATTCTAATTCATATATTTGATATGTATGTGAACCATCAGATTCTTGTTGATTTTGAAATACAAGATGAACACGTGTACGATCTGTTAAAATACAAAAGTATGTATAATAAAATTTTTCACCAAGTCAATATTCTTGTCTTCATGAAATCTAGACAAAAATTTTTTTTAGCAATGCATAGAGCAAACATTCTACTATTAACATCTTATACAAACAAAATAAATTAACGTTTTATAAAATAAAGGACAAGAAAAATCTTGCCAGATCAAAAAAAGAATAGAGATTAGAATGTCCTTACCTCGTTTTCTACTTTTATCTTTATTTAATACATTACAATCAACTAAACGTTGTGTTGTTAATGGCATACTTTGCCATGGTAATTTATTTGTTTTTTCTAATAAATCAAAACGTATTTGTTCACCGGATACATCAATACGAACTTTGACATGTTTACTACTGTTTGATTTAATATAATAATCAAAAAAATAAGATTTTTGATTAAGACTTTCATATAAACGATTTAAATTATTGATTGGATCAATTTCATTCGGAACATCTTGAATAATAATATTTGATGAAGTTTTTCCAATTGAACTAGAAGATTTTTGATGTTCACTTGTTGGTGGTGTTATTGAACGTGATGAATTCTCCAATGAAACACCATCATCATCATCATCATCAATATCATCATCGTCATATTTATCATAATCAGTGGAACTTTCATCACTATCTGGTGACATAGGTGGTATTGATACAGTTCCTTGTGTTACTTGTTCAATTAATGCTAAGTGAGGGAAATCATACTGACCAATTGGTTGTCCACTTGTTAATGGAGGAAAATCTTCTTCAGGTTCACCATCATCATCAGCAATATAAAGGGAATATTTGGACGGATCTTTTTGACTATAAGAAACAAATTAGAAATTACTTTCTTATGTGGATTCGATACATCGATGTCTGTAATCCTCAATTCCAAAATTTTATCTTTCAAAAGTTAATCAATACCTACTTTCCACTACTATCATATATTTGTAAGAAAAAAGAATCTGTAAAAATTGTGCTCTTTTTCTGTTTCAATGAGTCATTGAAGTTTTTTATAAAATTAAGCTAAACAATGAAGAAACAAACAGCTGGGATTCAGAACCAGAGAATAATTTATACAAGTTTTTATTCTCTACAAAATGTATTTTCGAAGTGCAACAAGATTCATGTGTTTTCTATATAGTGATTGTTGAATAAAAAAAATAATTTTAACAATTTTTATTTCCATGACAACCTTTGCAAAGCTGAATGGATGTGCTAAATTTTAATGAAGCATAAACATAAAAAACTATAGTTGAGTTTTTTTAATAGAAAAAAAATTCAATAAAGTGTATTTGATTCAATGTAATTTTTAACGTTGGTTCCGAATGTCATATTCATTTAGCTTTACAATTACTCATGGCACTGAAAATCATTAAAAACGTTCTTTTCCTATTGCAAAATCACTATACAGAAGATAGATTTGAATTCCATTTTGTCCCGAACATAACATTTATCTTTGAATTTTTTTTTTATCATTTTGTAGAACGGTTGAGTTGCTCGACATATATACTCAAAGTACTGTGTGCAAAGCTTAGTACTACGAACAATTGGATGATTCTGAAAAAGCTACTAACGATTGCTTATCTTGAGTCACCCCGTTCGATAGCATACTAACTACGTTGTGATAGGTGTTTAACTAACTTTTGAAAGAAAGGTTGATGGAAACTAAAATTTAGAGATTGATAGTTTTAGACATCGATCCATTTAATTTACAATCGATTGTCTTATGTAAAATCTTTTTGAGAACAAAGGAAAAACTTTGAAGTAATTTACGTTAGAATTGGTTCACGATTTTCTATTGTATATTTATAACAAGCAAATCCAATTGTTTCTGAAACTGTAGCAGTTGAAGAAACAATAACATGCAATTTATGTTTTTGAGATTTAAAATGAACCATAATTTTTTTCGATTGATTTAAACTTATATTTGGCTAAACGAAGCAAAAGAAAGTAATCAATTGTTTTTTAAAATCATTACGATAAGAAAACTCAAACATACTGTTCCATCGAATTTTGCATAGTTTGCAAATGGATTTTGTTTACTTGATGTGGATTGAATAAGAGCTGTTAGAGGTGATGGTTGTAATAGAGGTAAAACTGGTTCTGTACGACGTTGAAATAAAGATGTCGTGGAATCATCAATATCATTTTCGAAAAGAATTAAATCATTTGAATCTATTTAATTAGAAATTATTTTTGTGTTTTACTTCTTCTTTTTTTTTTTTAGTATTACTTTTATTAATTTGAGCTGGGGGTGGATCTTGCCATGAAATAACTTGCACTTTACGTTTAGCTTCATTTTCAGTTTTGATTTCATCAAGTCGACCCAATGTTTCACAACGAATTCGTCGGACTAGGAGAAAACAGAAAAAAAAGAAAAGAAATCAAATGTTTTTTTTTTTTTATTGATTATATTTTATTTTAATAAGAATATTTCTTAAGAAGAAAGCTTTTATTGTATATCGTTCTGCATGCAAGTATATACATAAGAAAAGAAGAATTTAAAAATTTTCATCATTAAGACATATTGATAACGTTTTTTAATATAATATTTATCTATTCATTTTTTTAATTGAATAAATCACATTTCGATAATTAATATTAATATAAAATAATCCTAGCGATTGATTTCAAAAGTTTGATATTTCGTTAAGTTTTATTAATGATCATTAATTTGATTCAGAGATTGTTCTCCGACCCTTTGAGCACTCTGTAGATATCATCGATCTTTGGACGTCACGTTATTACCGATTTACTGAGTTGTTGATCCAAAACTTTGCCTATTGATAGGTTTAATAAATTTTAGAATATCCTAAAAGTTTCAGCCGAAACAAATGTTCGTTTGTCCAGTTATTAAATTTTCAAATGAACTCGATTTTTGTAACAAAGGACTATTTTTGGATAATCTAAGAACTACTAGACCTATCTGTAAGCAAAACTTTAGATCGAAATTCTGTTATTTGAATTTTTGAAGACTATTTACTAAAGCGATCAGAACTCAGCAACAAAGATACATGAGATGAATGTTTTTAGTTTTTTTGCTCACTAAAATCTATTTGTCAGTCTAAAATGAGCTCAAATAATGGAAATTAACTCCTCGTTAGTCACCCTTATATCGAAGACATAATATCTACGTTCACAAATGACCAGCTAGATCAACAAGCATATGCTACTGTCAAGTAAATTTTAAGGATGCAATGGTGAATACACGAATATCAACAAATCTTCTTTAGATTCGGGTTTTCCGAAACCTTTAGTTTATTTTTTTACAAAATCCAGCTTTTTTCTTGTAATAGACCTGTCCGAACAGAAAAAAAATCAAAATCACTCTAAAATCATCATAGTTTTATCATGCATTCACCAGTGAACGGTATGCCATACTGTTGCATTCCTAATAACTATTGTATCGAACAAATAACCGAAGATATTAGCCGTAAGTGATTTTTCAATGTGAGTTTGCTGTAAGTGATAGGAGGAGAAGATATCTTTGAAGTGCATTGTGACAAGAAAATACACATAGATAGTGTTTACTACTTAAAAATATTTCTTAGTTTCTCTCATAGTTGTCGTTTATAGTCAATACTCAACTACTTTACTTTTCTTCGATTTTTCATTGATAAGATTTTATAGAAAACTAGAATACTATTCTATTCATTATAAAATATTTTCTTCATATATAGTGTTATAAATTCTTTGTTTGATAATAATCATAAACATTGTTTTTCAATCAAAGAAGTCACATAAGTATTTTTATTTATTGGTGCATTGATAGATTTTTCTATATCCATTACTATTGTGAAAGTTTTTAGTAGGCAACATTGACAGTAATTTTAATAATTCAAATAATGAAGCATTTGTGATTTTTTTTATTGTTAAATATCATTTGAGCAGCATAGAATAATGATTAAAAGAGCTTACGATGACAAATATTTTCATTTGTATAATCTTCAAATAGATTGTATGATCAATAAGATCAGATTTAATTATGATGATCTCAGATTTTATTAAGTAAAACAAGGAACTAAACTAAGATCTTATAAAACATACCTTGAACATTAGTTGCTGTCCATTCAGGTGAATGAGATAATTCATCAACAATAAATTCTGGTTCTGTTCGAAGTAAATTCAATAAATCAGTTTTTTCGAGATTAATTGATTTCCTATTTAGATAAATATATTAGAAGAAAAAAAAATATTTTGTTTTTTGGAAACGAACGATTTTGCTAGATTTCTTCGTCTTTGCTCATTTTCAACATCTTGACTTATAATTTTGTCGCATAATTCTGAATCATCACTAATAATGAAACCTTAGAATAATAATAAAAAAATTAAAGAAATATAAAATTCAATTATTCATAATTTACCATGACGTATACGTCTTAATATAACTTGTGAATCGCCACCTCCAAGGCTCATTTTTTTTACCTATCTAGAAAAAGAAACTTTGTTTTTAGAAAAATATTTCTGACCTAAAAGCTATCATTGACATTTCAAACAATAAAAGTTCATTAAAAATTGATTATTATTTTGTTTATGCATATAATGAGTACTGGTTGATTACTAGACAGACTTTCTTTTCTTATCTCAACATTTTAATCTTTTTTTTGTTTTTAAATGATGACAAAGCATAAAAAATAAATAGTATATTTTTATTCAATAAAATAAAAGCATAGGACTTATAGCATCAATATGTTGTTGTTTTTTTATTTTGATCTGTCAAGGAAACATAATAACAGGGTTAGTATATGGGAAGTAATAAACTACCCTGGCACAAAACATAACCAATCATGTATTTATCTAAAACTTCGACTTTGATGGCATGATTCATAATTTGATTAGTAATTGGTTGGACTTTTCTTTATAATACCTATAATTAATTATTGGTAATAGAAATTCTTATAAGTCGATGAATAGAATTTAAAATAAAAATTTTATGTTTAGCCTTATGTCATTATAAGATTGATATAAGGAAGCGTGTTCGTAGATGGCATTAGTGGACATATATTAAAAGAAAGCTTAAAACTACACGAAAACCAATGGTTAACCGCATGTATTTTGCTTAATTGTTTTTTTTTGTATCTCAATACATGAATATTTTTAAACTCTTAGAGAAATTTTAGATTTTAGTCAAAATTGCTTTTTTTTTCTTACTATGAGCTCCCTGAACTCGCCTGTACGATTACATCGACTGTTTCGTCGCTAGTTTTTGAGTTTTATTATTTATTAAAGATGGCGTCATCTGACACAATACAATGTGGCATATTAAAATCGATCTTTCCAAGACTGAAAATATTAATTTAATACATAAAGTATTAAAACCTTAATAAAATTAGCCTCTTGTTGAAATTAGTATTGATTTTATTTGATAGAATTAGTATGATATAAAGTCTTTCTATGTATCCAAGGTGATATAGCCATTTCGATTCTTTGACAGTATAAACAAACGTAGAGTTATCCAATTTCCTTACTTCGTTTAAATATTATATATTAGCCCAGTATGGAGGCTTAGGGAGCGGTCTCTCTCAAAAATAGGTATTCATCCCAATAACAAGTCGTTATTAATAATGTTTTTAGATCGTGTTTCACAATACATTTGAGATATCTATGTCATTTTAAATGAAAAAAAAGAATGACTAAATTTACAATGAAATTAATCATGTAGATTATTTATTTTAAATGTGACAAAAACTAGTCGTTCTTTTTAATATAAAAATTCAATCGGTATGAACTTAGTTTACAAAAAAAAATTTTATTCAAAGCAATTTGTAAAAGTATGTTCATTTAATTATTAAGTGTGGCATATTCACAATTTTGATTACAATGTCTTATGTATGTTCCAGTTATTTTCTTAACATCAATTTTTCCTAAACATTTCCAACAAAATCTTTGCCCACAATAATTTTGTCCACCATGATCACATTTGCCTTTCGCTTCAGAACATGCATGTGTTCCATATCGACAGCATGTCATAACATCACATCCTTCAAATTTCATTATTGGTGTACGACATAATTGATTAGGACATTGTTTTGTAAAAGCAAGAACAGTTACATCTGATGCTAAATCAGGATTGAGAGTGCGTTCTCGATCAAATTCATCACATGTATAACCTGTATGCCATTCAATTGAATGTCGAAAACATAATGGTTGATGACATGCATAACATGTATAATATCTATAGATAGAAAATAAAAAATATGGATTCATACAATGAAAAAAATCGATATTGATATATTACATACCCAAGTAAATCTTTATAATTTGATACAAGTTGTCCAGCTCCACATCCTTTTCTTGATTTACACCATCGAAATTCTTCATTTGATTCAAGAAATCGATTTAATAAAAGTTTATCGACTAAAGTTGTTAGGCGAGTATCGAGTAAACGATAATATTCCGAAGGCTCAAACTCCACTTTACATGTAGGCATAGGACATTCAAAACGATGAATACCTTTGACAGTTATACCATTAGAAATATTTTGTGTAAGACATGGAATACAACAAGCTGCTTGATGTTGACATCTTTTTGAAAGATTAACTAAAGTAAGATCATTATCATTACATATTGAACAAGTGCCTTGACGATCTTTTGGAAAAAGAGATGCTTCTTTGGGAACGACAGATTCAGATGGTTTTATGTCAGCACTAATATTGGGTTTTTTAGACTAAAAAAATTATTCAATAGTTATAGACAAAAAAAGATTTTATTAACTTACCATGTTGGCAAATAAAAAGAAGTTTTCACCTATTATTTTTTTTTCTTGTTCTTGTTACTTTCTCAAGAATAGTCTGTGTAATCACATGCATTGCTTTTTTTGCGTCATTTTATGAGGGCAAAGAAAAAGAACAAAGTTGGAAGAAACCATGTTATGATGGCTTAAGTAGCATGACGCAAGAAAATGTTAAAATTGTGCAAGAAAACTAAAGCATTGTGTAAACGCCATATGTTTTTTCTAATAAGGTGGAAATATCCTTGATAAATAAGTAAAAATTAGATTCAAATATATTTTTAAAGAAATATAAATTAACTCGAATTGATCAGTCTTGGTAAATTAAGCTTACATTAAAGATCTGCAATTCTCTTTTCTATTTGTTTACTTCCTGCATATGTTATTTATGAAAAAAAAATATCGAGTAAATTATACTAAGAAAGAAAATGTCGATCATAAATACTATATCATAATTAAAATGATGTAGCATTTTTGTCGGAAAAAAAGAATGTCAAAAACGTTCAGGAGGTCAATAATTGTAAACCAAGTTAACAGATCAATGCTAGTATATAATTGTCGTCTTGTTTGATCACGAAAAATAAATTACAATAGATACATCCTATCAAGGGATGTGCGGGATCGACTTTTTTTGGCCTCGACTATGACCTGACATATCACACCTAAAAAAAAAGTCTTCAATATTCATCTGTTGATTTATTGAATCGATGAATAGCACTTTTTTGAATCATTTCTCTTGAATTTATGTTCTAATTAATATGATTTACATGATAAATCGGTTAAAACCATATAATATTTTACTATAATCCTTAGTTTTGGTTGAGACAATGTTTTCCTTGTAGTTCCAATTCCAATGTGAGTAACTTCCTTTTTTCCGTGCTCTCGCACATCTCTACTTATGTCTTCGCGGCAACGACAGTATTTGAGAATAATATATATTTTTTATATTAATATCGCGATGAACATTAACAATCGAATTAGTGTTAACATAAAAAATAATAGCAGTGCAGAAAAAGGCTGATAATAAAACAGCAAAGGCCAATCATATTCATCTACTAATACTAATACACTTGTTAGTTCGTTCATGTTAATAGCTAAATTTTCGTGCATTGAAATCTAACGTAATTATCACGTCATCATTCGTTTGTGTTTCCCATTCCTCATATTCCCCAGCATATATACCTTTGGTCACTGATCTTTCACAACTCGAGGAGCCATAAGCGCAATTCAATGTTGTGAATCGATTAGTTATAATTTCAGTCGATTTGATAATGTCAAAGAAAACTGCACTCTTATGAGATGTGTGTATCAGAAATCGTAGACGATTAATGCTAGATGAATATAAAATAACTCTGCAACTGCTAGAATGTACAGCTTCGTCGACTGTTTCTGATGCACTGATTACTGACAGTCCCAAGTTGCTTTCATAAGTGATCAAGTTGTTGTCCCCATCGATCAAGATCATCTTCTTTATAGTCATCACTTTCTCAACTCGAACGAAGTTCATGTGATAATTTATTCATCAAATTATGTAATTGCTTCTTTGATTCTACAGTTAATTGTTTTAAATAGATTCGAGCTGTGCCCGCAATAGATCGAATCTTTTCAATAGATTATTTTTCCCACTTATCGATTTGCTCTATTAATGTTTTGCTGATACTCTGTTGCTCAGTATCTCGTCTCAGAATATCATGTTGTTGTCCAATATTGTCCATTTGCTAAGAAAGTTCTTGTCGATGATCAGATGCATGTTTTAGACAAAACGCTAAGTGACATTCATCACAGATAAATGTTGCACCATTTTTGTTACATTAACAACACGGTTTTTTAATGTTATTACCTGTCGCCATTTTGATGTAGCGTGTGCTATTCGAAATCGTGAGTCAACCTTTTTAAATTTCGTTACTCCATGTGAGTATTGCGGTGCATTGTGTACTGTGTCGATAAGAACGCAAAAAAGAAGCAAAACAACAAATCATGTTACTGCTCATGCCTTTGGCTTTATATTTTTTTAAACATACCTACAAACATAAGTAATGTGTAACAGAATATAAAGCAAATTCTGTGAAGAAAAGTAAAGGATTGATGCAATACAACATGCCCGTCAATAGCATATTGTGGTTTTTTCCAAATTAAAAGAAATGCTTAGTTAAAATTGATAGGCGAAAATAAAAGGGATCATTGAGCTTGCTAAATTAAATGTATTCCTATCATAAGGTGTTTTGTTTTACTTCTCATGCATAATAATCGTGCATATTGTCTGATAATTATATAGACAAAATTTGATGGAGAAAAACAGATAATCAAACAACACTTTTAGAAAAAATAACATGAATTGATCACGCACAGATACTTCCGCTTGGTCTTTTCGATTTCCAAAGAAATCAAATGCTTCCATTACCAACTGTTAGTTTTAGAAATATGTTCTAGATGATTGTAATTAAAATGAACATATTTGACACATCTCAATCATACATAATATTTTTGATGTAGAACAGTTTCATTACTATGGTTAATTTTTGCGATAAAAAAAATCATTAGAAATTAGGCATATATTGCAAAAGTAATAAATTAGGACACTGAATAAACAACGCTATGATTTGAATAAGTAATAGTATGAAGATCAATAAAAGAAATTTAAGAATTAAAAGGAAACGGCCAAATTCAAATTTTGTTTATGTAGGTGACAGTGTGTAGGTTTTGACACTTTTTTGAATTTTATCTAGCAAACAGAGAAATCTGTGTGAAGAGTTCTACTAGTGTACTGGTTTTGTCATGCGATGCAGAACTCATAACATGTGTCTTGTCTATAGCACATGCACAAAAAGCAGAGACATTTTACTCTTTAGTAAAAAATGTTTGATTCGTCACTCTGAAACAATGAACAATTTGTATTTTGAATAAAACAGTCCTAGCTGCCGCAGAATCTTGTATCAGAAAATAGCGGAAACGAAATAACATAAGAAAATCTGTAATATTTCAAAAACAAATAAGTAAGCTGTTATGCTAAATACATCACTTTTAAACTTCGATTAGAATGATAACTAAAACCAAATTAAAAATGGAATATCTAAAAGTTACTGAGAATTATATCAAGTGTTAGTTTTTCGATGAAAATTTTATAATTATAAACCAAAACGTTTTTGACTTATTTTCTTTTTTTTGTGATAAACTTGAGCGCATTAAATCATTTATTCACTTGTACACACGCTTAATAGTACATTATATAAAAATATTAAAACTCGTTTTCATTTGAACTAGAAAAACTACACTCTTGTTTTGCATATAAGAAGAAATATGCATGATGGATCTCTAATAAAAATTAGATCCATTATAAAGAAACTTCCTAATAATATGAAAATAATTCATCAATACTTTAACTAACTAAATGCCGTATTCAGTTGTATTTGTTTATCAAATTATATGATATAATAGTTATTTTCATTAAGAACTTCTTTATTAATAAGATGATGTTGTACGAGTAAACCGACTGTTGTCAAAGCCAGTTTTTCTTCTACAGCTGGTCCTCGATTTTGCCAATATTCACCGAAAACACCATGTGAATCAGCAGGATTTAATTCAGAAACAATAAAACCACGACGAGCAATAGCTACTGTCAATCGATGCATATCTTGGTCAGCAATCATTACAGGTATAGGACCATTATACGGCGGTTCCTGGAAATGTTCAATAAACTCACTAAAAGTGTCACCAGTGCTTATGAAATTCTTGTCTACATCGATAATTGGTAAAGCAAATATTATTCCACGAATATTTTTATAACTAGGTCCATCTTGTTCGAGTACTGCTCGAATGGCTATCGCAGAGGTTATCTGTACTGTTTCATCAACTCCAATATCTTCACCAGAAAAGACTCCAAGTCCAATGGCTGTTTCAACAACAATTTGAACACCTTCTTCATCACATGCTCGTAATCGTAACCTAGCCATTTGCATTAAATCGTTCAGTAGACGTTTTTCATGTAATACGCCTAATGGACCTCCTTTCTTGTGGCGAAAATCTCTTTCGTTAAGTAATGCTGGTTCATCTTTTTTACGATCAACTTCATAAATTTCTCTCCAATTCTTTACATAGTAAAGAATATCA